AACAATCATTGGAATACCAAAGAGTAACGCTACCAAGCCGGAAACGTACGGACATTCCAATTTTTTACTTACAAACTTAGACAATTACTGACATAATATTATTCTCTTTTTCCTGAAAAAATAAAAGCCTTAGACAATTACTGACATTTTTCCTGCCGACGCTGATAAACTTAGATTAGTGCTGACAATCTTAGTAGGTGCGGATAAACTTAGACAACACTAACACGTTTTAGTGTTACTGCTGAAAAAAATCTTTTGATGTTTCGAGTTCCTGTGAAATAGGATAGGGGAATATTTTGAGATACTGTGTTAAGATTGTGTTAAGATTTGTTAAAAGTAACTTCCAAATTAGCTAGATGAGTCATTTGATACAGAATGCCTCTCAGCAGTATTTACCTCGGAACGCCAAATATTGAAAATTAAGAAAATGTGTCTTCAAATCTGTCAATGAATCTATACTTCTAAATTAATAAATTTTGCAAATAAACTACGAAGCGCCTGCATCAGAGTTCATACCTACTCCTCTAATACTACATTAGGCATAACATTATGTCCCTAAACTATATTTAGATTTCACTTGTATAGTAATTTTCGTAAATTTAATGAAAAGTCCACTGTCATTTCCGCTAAACATTCATGAAATAGCAAAAAAGAGAGTACGGCGGTGGTTCCGGTTGGCAGATCTATGTTAGTGACAATTTTGAATGAAACTGTTTGTCACTTTAAATCCAATTATTGTGAAAAATTGAAAGAAGAACTAAAATCTACGCAGATAATCTAACTCATTTTATATAAACTTGATTTAATTTATACTTGTTATTTTCAGAATTTTTCAAGGAAACTATATGGAATTTTTTTTATCCCTTTTCAGTCATAAAAATATAACATGTAAGATTAGACTTAAAATATTTATTAGTTAAATATGTATATTGGGTACATTATTTACACGTTATAAACGCAACAGAACTAGCCCAATCATGGTGCTAAAATCTATCCTGGTGGATAATTTTAAATCAATTTAATATTATAGTATTTAGATGAAAAGTAATATTCTGATTTATTATGTATTCAATCTTTGAGTGCAAATATATCAAATAACAGCACATTATTTATGCATTTTTACCTATTGTTAAGTTTTCTTTTACTCTAAATCTTTCAAAACCTAAATCTTTATGAAGGACATTATTTCAGTCCTAGTACCTCTAGCAATCTAGGAGAAAAAAGAAATAAGGGACACTGACTCAAGGAGTTCATTCGGTGCCCCTCGGATAATCCTCAGGGATATTAAACATATGTCATATGTACAGTCTTCAGATTCCCAGTTTTGGTATAAAACCAACAGTTCATACAAAAAAATGAAAGAATGTATAGTTTCTATTAGAGATATATTCGAAGACTCCTTTTCCGATCCTATGTCTTCTATTTCAAAATGTTCTTCGAAAAACTGTAAAACCTGTGACATTTTGATAACTAACACTTCTTTCTCCAGTAATCTTACTTGACAGAGCTTCTGTAACAAAACTTGGGAGAAACGTGAACTGCAAATCTTCTAATGTTGTCTACGGAATAGAATGTAATCTTTGTGGACTTGTTTATGTTGGTGAAACCAAGGGATCACTCAATAAAAGAACATCAGGTCATAGATTTCAGATAAATAATGGGGGTCAGCAACTTTTATACAAACATTTTAATTTACCTGATCATTCTATTTTGTCAATGAAAGTTAGAATTCTGGAAAAGATTTACCACCACACAAACAGTCCATCACTGAGTACACCTTTCCGTAGACAACGAGAAGAATTTTGGATAAGAAAGCTAGGGACAGCCTTTCCCTATGGATGTAATGACAATGTCGATAGTGTTGAAAATCTTTCCAGTCCACAGTGTAACAATGTAAACGTGATGGGACTTTTTAACCATACACAGAGACGTAAGCGTAGTCATGGGCATCGGTCTTACAATAAACCTTTAATACACGATGTCTCTTTTGATTCATTACTACCTTACGTAAATCAACAGTTAGATCTACATCATATTCGCACCAAACTTTACTCTGTCCCTTTGAAACTTTTAAATAGTCTTCTTGAAAAGGTCAAGGAAAGTCCATTTTTTGATTCCTCGACACCAGAATATAGGCTCGGATCTGTAATTATGGATATTGCCAACCATAGGCTTTTTAAACCCCCGCGTTTTACTGAAGAAAATGCAGCTAAAACAATCCGTTTTTAAACTTAAACTTCAATATGCCAACAAAGGAATTGACGCGGTTAATATAAGTAATATTCTTAATCACAAAAGGGTGCAGTCCTGTATTCCACCATATTTCAAGTTAAAGACTCCACCTTGTATTTCCTACAAATATACATCGACTATTGCTTCCAAACTTTTTAATTACAAGAAAACTTTACAGGGCCTGGATATCGAATACCTGAAGCATAATCCTCCATTGTGTTCATGTTCTTCTTCGCCCTATAACTATAGTCCTGCTGGACACGTTATTACTGGTGACTTAAATATAGTTAATAATGAGGACCTTAGATCACTAAGTTTAAAAGGTCCTAAATTTAGGGAACCCAGATCCTTCAACTGAATTTCATAAATATTATGGATTCTGTAGAGGACTACGCCAGGCGATGGAAAAGACATGAAAAAGAAGACCTTGACACTTTGTCAGAATGGATTAAATGTATCAGATGTATGTTAAAATCGCGCATTAAAAGATTGAGAGGCAATATGAAAACCATATATCCTTCTGTATTCAATAATCCAGAAGTGAAAAAAGAATTAGATAGATTACATGATCAGTACGTACTGGTCCCTGCTGACAAAGCAGGTAACAACATTGTCTTTGTTTGTAAGGCTCATTATATTAAATGTTTTTTAGAGGATATTGGATTTAATTCTACAAGTGGTAATCCAACTTATACTCATAGTTCCATTTCTAAGGAAGAAATTCTTCAAAATCATATGTCAGTTTTGAATATTTTTAATATTCCAAACAACCAAAATGAATTTGAATTACCATATTTATATTGGATTCCGAAACTTCATATATATCCTTACAAACAGAGATACATAGCGGGTTCCAGTAAATGTTCAACCAAGCCTCTATCTTTACTCCTGACTAAGATATTAACAGTGGTGAAGGAGAAACTTCAAGAGTACTGTGCAACAATATATTCGAGAAGTGGTGTAAATCAGATGTAGATACTTAAAAATTCCAAGGAACTTTTTGAAAATTTGAAATCACAAGATTTTACCAAAATCAACAGCTTAAAAACTTACGACTTTTCAACTTTGCACACAACCATTCCCCACGATAAATTAAAGTCCAGGCTTTTTTGATATCATTGACAGCTGCTTTTTCAATGAAAATGGAACTCGTAAATATACTTACCTTGTCATTGGTCATTTGCAAAATTATTTTGTTAAAAAACATTCTGATTGTTCACACAAGTACTCTGAAGTTGACATTAAAAAGATGCTTGAGTTTCTGATTGACAATATCTATGTGGTTTTTGGAGACCAGGTCTTCCAACAATCTATTGGAATTCCCATGGGTACCAATTGCGCCCCATTATTAGCAGACCTTTTTTGTATTCATATGAAGCAGAATTGTCCAAAATCTTGTACGTGAAAAGAAGGAAACACTTGCTGTGGCCTTCAACTCGACATTTAGATATATCGACGACGTATTGTCAATTAACAATGGCTATTTCCATTCTTATGTCGATACGATATATCCTTGTGAACTTGAGATAAATGATACCACCGGGTCTGACACATCTGTTTCATATTTGGATATTTTACTTGAAAAAGACGTTAATGGAAATCTAACAACCAAGCTTTATGACAAACGTGATGACTCTAACTTTTCAATCGTCAACATTCCTTTCTTATGCAGCAATATGCCTTCATCACCTGCATACGGGGTATATATCTCTCAGTTGATTCGATACGCAAGAGCATGCTCTATGTATGTACAATTTCTAAAACGAGGTAAATTATTGACAAAGAAGTTGATGAAACAAGAATATCAGCTGCCTCGTTTAAAGTCATCATTTCGTAAGTTCTATGGTCGATACAATGACCTTGTCAGCAAATACAATTTATCATTGAGTCAAATGCTGACTGACGTTTTTCACACTAATTGTTAGGCCATTATTTACACACTGAATTGTCGACGGATTTTTCCGTTATTTCCCGATCATGACGAGGAGCACACGGCGGGTGTGACCGGTCGGCAGGGGATGCTCACTCCTCCATGGCACCTGATCCCACATCTGATGTTTGGAGGTCCGTGTTTGCTCTGCTCCTATTTTGTATTGATTAATGGACTTTTGAGCTTGAATACTGTTCGTTATCTCCATATATTTCATAGTCAAAATATTGATACAAAGTTCTAAGCCCTGCTTGGTTGTGTAGACCATAAGCAAACGATTTGACAACAGAACCTATTATTTATTATTTTGTATTTCTTTAGCTAACAGAGACAAAAATCGACCCGATTGTCGAAGTCTCCCCCCCCCCCCATGTACTTGAGTCATCTTCGGTGTTAATCAACTTTCAATTTGTCGTAATGGTAAACAAAGCATCTAAAATTAAAATCACCTTTGATCATGCATTCCGGGAATAAGCGTACAGCGGTTAAGCTTAAAAGAATCAACAATTTCAAATAAAAAAAAAAATATATAAATTTTTTTTTAAACCTCACGTCATATTGGATAAAAACTAGCGCCCGCGTCCGTTCAGTAGACATATTCTTCCCGCTAGCGACTGTACAATGAGCGCTCGCTTTGCTGAACACACCTCGGATCAGTAATTGTCTAAGTTTATCAGCACTATTTTAAGTTTATTAGCACAGGCAACAAAAAGGACATTGAGTTCTTCAATAGATATAGTACAGTGTCAATAATTGTCTAACATTGTCTGTAAAATATGGGAATGTCAGTTTTTTTCTCTCTTAGTAGACAGCGATATTAACATTTAATGTTGTTTACCTAGTGACGTTTGACCAACATCATTGTCTCCCTCACAGAATCACCGGATGTGATTTTAGGATACCAAGGATAAGTCCAGGACTCAGGATACCAGGGACCGTTGAGGGAAAACAAGCGAAATAAGTTAAACCACCAGCCTCCCCAATTACCAGCAGCACAACTACCCCCACCTCCCCATCTGTCGTGGTCTCTGTCTGGTGTACTGAAGTATATCCCTGACAGATCAAAGTTAGCATTCCCAGTGTTTAACATGCTGTCTCCTGTAACGAAAATAAATCACAGACAAAACTGGTTCATTTAAGAAATAAACAATGTTATTCAGTGAACATGGCGTTATGAATAGCAATTGTTCTGCTGGCATATTCCATGATGCGCGCTTGCACTGAATAATCGTTGTTAATTACTTATATTTGCAATCTGTAATGTCAAGAATATCAGAGGAAATCTTGGCCTGCATAAGGGTAAGGGTGATTACCTCCAGTGAAGAAAAACATGACAATAAAATCTGTAAACCTGATTAATAATAAATCCAATTTATCTCCAATAAATCACATACAATATATATGGTATACAAACCGCGCCGTCTTCAAATTCTCGTAAATTTTTGTTTTGATGCTTTTGTGACTCGTCAAGACGTCATCAAAACTCTATGAGAAAAATTAATAATAATAATAATATGAAAAAAGAGAATTCTTTATATTGATTTTAACTTAAGAATGTTTTTCTTATGCTTCGTAAGTTTTTAAAATTCTTTTTAAGAGTTAAAATCGTTCTTGAAATAGATATATTACATACAGAAATTTTGCCTTGTCTGAACGTAAAAACATCCTAGCGTGAAGAGTTATCGTTCTTTGTAGCTACATTAGTTAAAAGGAACAAATAAATTAAAGATATAGAGCTCTGTTTAATTTGTAGAAAGTTTCATTATACAATTAAACACACACACACACACACACACACACACACACACACACAAACAAAAAAAAATATAAAATACACCTGAATCAGAAATTTTAGTCATTTTAAATTTATTTTTTCCCCAGAAGATTTCATTAAAAAACTAAAAAAAAAATATTCCTTTTGCACAATATTTCATATATATACTACTGCTACTTTGCCAGTGTGAGAAACGAACTGCATTTATAGCAGAAGTTGCGTTCATTTAAGGAATGTTTTTAAGTTTTGTGTGAGTTATTGGTGTGTAAATCACATAGACTTGTCACGTAGGTATATTTCATGAAGCGCGCTTGCATTCCTTATATTTACATATTACATGTTACAAAGCACCCAAAATACACTCAATGTTTGAATTGTTCGCTGCCCTATATCGTTACATTTTTATTAACGTCTCTGTAGCTCATTGTGACATCACTTAAACGCGAGTTTCACCGTGCATATTTCTACGCGTGAGCGTACACGAAAATGGCATTCAAATCAATTTCACAGTTAGCTTAGTAGAAAAAACATAGCAAATGTAAATATAGTGCTGGGAACGCAACTGATGAGTGCAGTTTCATAGTGGGAGAAAACAGAGATTATGCAAATAAATCACATTAATTACCGTTCACGGTAGCTCAGTCGGTAGAGCACTCGCCTCGTGATCGGGAGGTCGTGAGTTTATATCTCGGTCGCGATTGACCTAAGTCGATAAAAAATGGGTAGCAACTGTTCCTTCGCCATGCGCTCGGCACTTTGAAGTGAAAGTTGCGGGTTTTTCGGATGAGATCTTAAAAACCGAGGCCCCGTGTCACGCCTGGCGTTGGCACGATAAAGAGCCCTTATTGCTCAATGACCCTGAGTGCCGAGTAAAGGTCAAAATTTGAAGCCCTTCACCGGTATATGGTGACGTCTCTGTATGGGTGAATTTTTGTTTTTTTAAATGGGACGATAAACAACATAAAATCAATCAATCAATATCACATTAATCTTATTGTCAATAATACTGAAGTAAAACATAGACAGATGACGGCTTCTCATGTCATATGTAAAGAGAGATAGTATATAAAAATAAAATAATAATGATATTTAATATACATAGACAGATGACGACTTCTCATGTCATATGTAAAGAGAGATAGTATATAAAAATAAAATAATAATGATATTTAATATACATGTAGCACCCTTTCTAATGTTATAATAAACCCCAGGCGTTTTAAACTTCTGAAGTATGATAAAAAATATATTTTTTGTGGTTAAGGTCACTGGAAATATTATGAAAATGGATATGTGAAAAATCAAATCTGTTAAAGACCGTGCCTTTAAAATGTATAATTGTAGGATCTCCCATGATTTGTAGTTGGATATGATTTTTATCCAACGAGTTGTGTGTTTTTTATCCCCGAGCCTTGGCGAGGGAATAAAAACACACAACGAATTGGATAAAAATCATATCCAACTACAAATCACAGGAGATTCTTTTTATCCCATGTTTAATACTTCACAACGAATGTTTTACACTGTTTTATACAGGACTCCATCACTCTACTTCATCACTCTAACGCAAAAACCATTGTGACGTCACAACTGCACTTAACTGTGGAATATGAAAAAAATATCCAATGAGTCATATCCAGGGGATAAAGGGGTAAACATGGGATAAAATGCAGTTCGAAGCAAATCATTCAAAATGATAACAAGGTAAGAAATTATATACATTTATTTACATTTGCAAATATTTTTCTTAGATGAACCTATTGAAGAAAAAATACGTTCAATTCTGTATGAACTTATTTGGGGGTCATAGGTCATGGCCTGACCGAATCACACAGCGAGATGATATCTTGTCTACATATTTCTGTCCCGGTGACACTGGTTCGGAACTTCTAAGCCGTAAAGTTGAAAATGATAAAATTATTGAAACATATATGTTTTTTTTTTCGTTCAAAAAATGATCATTAGTTCTTTCTTCGGTGTGAAGAATGTTAAAATCACGCTTACCTTTTTAACCCGAAATTCCTTTGAAGGTATGTAAACTGAACACGATACCACCGCTTTTGACTTCATATATTAAGAACTCATACAATAATAGTAAGATAATTCTCAGTAGCGATCATTGTTTTTTTTTCATTATAAACATATATTTCCTGAACTGAACTGCTGAACATGAATGGAAGTATTCAAATGTTGGAGCGAGGCGAACTCTCAAGACCAATCAGCTTCTAGGTTATTGCGCGTCACAACATAGCAATACGGCGGGCCGTTCGTGTAATAAATGCAATTCTTTTCAGAATATTCCTGTCTGCATTATATACATTATATACCTGTAAACGGTCTAAAATATTAGATTTTTTATTTAATATATAATAGGTATTAAGAAAATGGAATGCGTTGAGATGTTTTGAATTTGAATGTTCCCGATCAAATTGTTTTCTTCGAACAACCAATTCTCGCGAACATGTCAACATTATATATCAAATACGCGCTGTAAACTTCCTATTCCATAACAATTAAAAAATGTGAATTATTGAAAATCATAAAGAAACCCAAGCTAAATAACCATGGCAGATCAAGGGATTATTACTGGTAACTATGCTAGTTACAAATATTTTTCTTTGTTTTTAGGATTTGTAATTTTAAATATCAATTACTGAACAATGATTGCCGCCCTCGTGGCGCAGTGTTAGAGCGTCTGCTCTAGAGATGTAGTGTAAAAAGCTGATCAGTACGTCGCAGGTTCGAATCTACTGTGAGACGTGGAGACCGGTCCTCCAGATAAGACCGTATAAACCGAGGTCTCGTGTCGCAGTATGTGTTCGGACGAAAAAGATCCCTCACTACTCAATGGCCCTGAGTGCAGAGCATAGGTATAAATTTGCAGCCCTGCACCGCACCGTATGTATGATTGAAATATTCTCTAGAGGAACGTTAAGCAACCAAGCAAAAAAACTTAACAATGAAAATTCAATGTCCGCGGAATTTGCGAATTGTACCTACAAACGATATTGTAAAATATTAAACGTTTAATTAACGTGGAATCAAAGGCGTTTACAGAGTATTAGAAAAAAATGCATCATTGTCTCCTTTTTCAACAACTTAATGAACTTTCTATGCAAAGAAGTATATGATGGTGTACTTGATTTGAACCCAATTTCAAGAATAAACTTACCTAAGGTTCCCGTGGCAGGTCCTGCAAGAAAAGTTGATATTTCTTTGTTTCAGTGGAGACAGAAAATCGATCGTACTTTTCAAACAAGCTTGTACCATTCTGGAGAGTGATGGACATATAAAGGAATGAGTTGTTTTCTTTCGTTAATTGATGGATAACGTCATTTCCTGCATTAAGGCATATTGGAAATCAACTGTAAAGTCCATTAAAATATCAAGAATTCTATTTTGAATATGAATATATCTTCTTAAAAAATGAAATTATTTTCCCTAAGCTGTAGACATTGATGTCAAATTTTGTCTCTTTCAAAGACCCTCCCACTGAGTGACTTAATCCTCTCCCTATCATTTCTTTTTCTTTTTATGTAAGATTTAAATTATGCACGATAAGTTAGTGAACTCGAAAATATTATTACCCAGTCTTAAAATCAGGTCTTTGATACGCTTTATTTTTTTTTATCTGTCACAAAGAAATTTTCTTAAATTTGAAGAGGTGGAAAGTTACTATTTGAAAGCGAGTTACACATACCAACCCAGACATCCTGCTCCGCTCGACCAAAACCATTTTTGTATTCCGTCCAGGTCCTGTCAAAACTCAAAGATACATCCACACGTTTTTTTGATTGCCTTTAAAAATTTACATGTATATCATTACAAATTTATTGTTTTGAACAATTGTATAATCAATATGTTATGATATAAACTAAAAATGTTCATATTGTTTTTCATCCAATATTAATTTGAACAATGGAAAAACTGAATATAAATAATGCACCCTAATTTTAAAACATATAACATACCGTCCATCCTCCGTCCATTGTCTCCATGTCGCAGTAAAATCTGATAGGACTGGTAATGGCGCCATAGGGATAGATTTCATACACCCCTGAATTAGTGTGACCATCTGCACGAAAATCTTTACAGTCTATTGGAATAACTAAAGCAGAAAAAAAAATTAATGAAATCATATGATGTGTATATGCAGGTAGTGAGAGGTTATACCTGAAAAATGAATTAGGGTTAATCGCTGAAGTTAAGTTGTAAACTACAATGTAGATTATGTTTAACTGTTCTTCATTACCTGAAATTATTTTGGTTTAATCTAAAATTTCTTTTTGAAAAAATACCGAGTTAAAGAGAATGCTTAGTAGTCCATGACGCAGGGTTCCCATCTCATCTATCAAAGCAGTTATTGCAAGATACTAGCTTGAAGTGCATTCCTCTGACTCTTTTGTGTCACAGATGGAGATTGATTGTATGTTGTTTAACGTCCCTCTCGAGAATTTTTCACTCATATGGAGACGCCATCACTTACCGGTGGAGAGCTGCAAATTTTGTCCTATACTCGGCACTTACGGCCATTGAGCAGTGTCATTTTTCGTCCCAGCACCTACTGCGACACGGGACCTCGGTTTGTACGGTCTCATCCGAAGGACCGGTCTCCACGTCCCACAGCGGAATTCGAACCTGCAACGTAAGGATCAACTCCTTACTTCGCGACTCTAGAGCAAACGCTCTAACCACTGCGCCACGCGGGCGACCTCACTGATGGAGAATTACGAATTAAGATTTTTAAAATCAGGTATATAAGTTAAACTCTGTGATTGATCTTAAAAAAAAACGGTTTTTTTGAAGAAGATTTTCGAATCATTCTACTGTGATGACTTTTTAAATTCCTTTTGATTATCCATACAGTTGATTGATATCTTAGAAATCTAGTGAGACATCCAACGAGAAAGACGTGATATAATTTGCTTGATATAATTCTTATTATATTTTTTTTTAGTTGTTTCTTTACCCCCCCTTTCATTCATAGTTGAGGCAAAATAATTAGGTTGTCTTGAAGTAAATTGACGTTGAAATTAAATACTTAGACTTGCAGATGCGGTGATTGGCTTCTGGTATACGAATGATATTGATTGATTCATCATTACATAGAAGCGTGAATCCTTTTATAGATCGACAATTTGTGAAAATACCAAAAAAGAACAATATCTCTGGCATCATACACTCTACTTCAATTAACAGTCGATATTTAATTCTTACAATATGTTCGTATAAAGACCATATCATCTAGGGAAGAAAAAAATATTTGCGTAGAAATGAAATCTTCTTGACATCAAGTTATTTACCTTTGTCACAACCCAAATTAAGAATATAAGGTCATATGAGATACACAAATAAACTCCCTTTCTCCTTCCATATTTCAACGATTCATTTCTACTTCAAATTAAGCAATCGTAATCTGACATAATGAAGATAATGAAAAAAAAAAATCAAAACTTTAGTAAGAAACATTTTCTTCGCTTTTACAATAATCCAGATTTTTGAAAGAAGTTAACTTTCAATAATTTAATTCTGGTTGTAACACACTTTTTGATTGGCTCATTTTTTTTAATATTGTATAAACTGGGTTGCCTTCCTCACAATGACTAGCGTCAAAAACGTATCAATCCGCTTGACGTTTCATTTAAAATTTGTACAATTTAGTGTCAAATTTGACGTGAAATTGTCTCTTTTTCCTTCACTTGATGGTAGAATGTTAAATTATAAGAAATGAAATTAATAGCTACCCAAAGGTATACGGTATAACCTGGGTTGAAACAGTTTACGCTTTTTTGTGGTAGTTATAAAATTCATTCCTAAATTAATATAAATGCATTCGGTTTATTTATTAACAAAAACAAACAAAAACATAATATTCCAAAATGAGGTCTTAAATAGGTAATGTTGTTCATGTCCATATCGACAGTTTTGATTTTAGAATGTACAAATACATATTTATATATTTATTCATCTTCAGAAATAACAATTTGCATAAATAAGCAACAAGTGATCATCATATCCGTCTGAATCCGACAGTTCTGATGTTTATTTTTCCTAATAATTCTCATAAGTATTAAGATGTTACAGTTAATATTCCACAGTTCTCCGATTCTGAATGATATATTGATCATATCTAAATAATTTCCAGGAGTGATAGAAGCACATCTGAGTTATCATGACATAATTTATAAATCTTTTATTTTATGACGAAAAAATTGACATCCACCAAACCATTTTTTTATTCAGGAAATTATAGAAAATTTTACTTTTTTGGTATATATATATCTAATTCTAAATAAATTAAAATACCTGTTACTGATGCTACTCATTGCACCAATACCAAATATATACGATATTTATGATATAGTGATACTGAATGATCCATGCAACTTTGCAGTTTCACACAGATGTGAAGCTGTATAAATATTTGTATTTTCTATCGTAATTACAAAGAAAACTTCGTTGATGTTTTGTTTATTTCTGTTTCGCCTAATTGAATTCCTTCCTAGTGTATTCTTCTTAAAAGTGCAATTGAAAGCCTAGTTGCTGCTGTTTAAGTTGTCGCTCTAAAAATTAAATTACATGACAAGCTTTTTTTTCTGAACAGTGGACAGTAAATCCAGCTGTTATTGTGACGGCAACTACAATCATTTTTAAAGTGTGTTTTAATGCTTCTGTGCATTTGAAATGCTTATTTAAAATCCATTTAAACAGAAATTACGTAAATTCCCAAAAGAGTTCTGCTTATTTTACATAAACATGTTGTTAAAAATCGGTAAGTCGTCGCTCTAAAAAGACTGCATGACACGTGTATTTCTTTACAATGTACAGTAAACCGGGCTGTTATTGTGACGGCAACTATTATCCTTTTTCAAAGTATCTGTTAATGTTTCTGTGTATTTGAAATACTTACATAACATCCATTTAAATTTCCCAGGAGGATGATATGATTCAATTCCTTTCTCATACTATTTTTATTTTCATTTGTTTTGTTGTTTTCATTAGATGCTGCTTTGGCTGTGTATATCCCTATGAATAATAAATATTCTTTCTTTATGAAAAATAATCTAGAAATGTAATGTTTCCTCATACGTATGATATAAATTGCTTCTGATACAGAGATAGCATTGATTAATTAAATCACTACATAGAGTAAAACAGTCAACTTTGGAAAACCTCAAATTACAAAAATTCCTTTTAAAAAGTAAAACATTAAGAGTATATGTCTTAATCCAAATAACCATTCAGAAAGCAGCCACCTGATTTTACTATCCCAAAGTGTATATCACTACTTATCTTATAATTATAAAGGAAAACAGAAAATATTTAACGCCAAAAATAAAATCTAACTTACACTTATCTGCACAATTATTAAGGGTCCTCCACACATCCTCAGCTTATGTTTTCACATTATTAAGTATTCCTTTTAACAAGCATATAAACCTTTAAAAAACTGACCAGGAATTAAATAAAATTCATACTGATTTTTTTAAATTTAAATCTCATATGTTTAAAGATATTTTTCCCATCGAATTTTGCAAAATAGCACAAGAAATTTTGTTTTTATCTGGCATATATTTCTCAGCTCATAAAACGACCTCAAAAATTTAATTCTATCAGTCAACATATCATTTTAAGAAGTTATAAAAAATAATTAAAGCTCATTTTCTCTAAAATACGTGGACGAAAAAATTAGTTTAGACACCTGATAGTATAGAAGAAACATTTATGAATAAAATTGCAAGAAGAAATTGAATTTTTAAAAAAAATATTGATGTAGAATATTTTTTCAGAATCCTTGGTATCAAAGTTTTTTTGTAGAGTTATATTTCCTGTTACCCAGAACAAAACAAAACTTTGGCAAGACTTCGCATACGTCATCCTACTCAAGTTACTCATTATTGACAACAAAACTGGACAGATATAAATGAGCAAAACTAGAAATTCATACTTTATACTTACTTTTTATCAATACTTATTAACAAAACAGTGAGATATGTTTTATTGAAACGGACAAATCAAAAATAACAAAATAGACTTTCTTGACGATTCGCAATGGATTGATAAGCCTGAAAGTATAAATAAACTAGAACGTTTTTTCATAGATGTACCTGTTATTTAGGCCAATTTTAAAATAATGTTTGTCTGCCCTTTCCCGACTAAGGATGAACATTGGGTCGGTGGGTAGGTGGGAAATTTTTTCCCCAAAGACTTTCAACATCAATGCGGAATTTTCTAATTTATTTTCTGGAATGCATAAAAAATAATTGTTTCCTGGAGGTTAAAAAAAAATTGAGTCGGGCAATTTTTAGTCAGTCGGTCGGGAGAGGGCAACCAAACATTTTTTGAAAGATGGCCTTACAAACTTTTATGCTACAAAAACGCAAAGGTCTTTTGTTTTTTAAATGGGAAATTCGACACCTTTTTCTTTTGGTCACACCATCACCATGCCATTTGTTCATTATTTATGATTAGGATGTTCCTTTCAGTTTAATACATACTTTTCACTTGACAAACTTTCATTTCTTTAAACGATTGTAAGACACCCTTACGTCAATACACAAACTATGCAAAAGCAGAAGTATTGGTATTTTTTTTCCCGATATACGTCACAGGTTACGGGGTGTGAAGGACTCATAAGGACACAGAATCATATAAATAATATCCTCTCTCTCTCTCTCTCTCTCTCTCTCTCTCTCTCTCTCATTTTAACGATTTGATAATGGTTTGTCTGCTTATGCATAAGCAAGATTTTATAATAAAAAATAATTACAAAAACTCTTTGTCTCAGTTTAACTATGTAAAGAATGATTACATACTTAATGTCTAATTAAATTAATTCCATGGTGGAATTTGCTGTTCGCACAAAACTTGCATAATTAAGATTTATCACAGAGTTTTCTTAAATTTTATGAAAAGAACAGTCTTACTGTTCCACTGTCAAGCGGGTCAATAAATGAGTTGGAATTATATACAAGATTGATCATTCAATTACTTATACATGAATTAGCATCTGGAGAAGAAATTACAAGACATGGTTAGTATTTGATAAAGTGAACTTTAAGAGAAGATATGTGGTAAAGATTTTAATTTTAATTAGTATACAGAAGCATAAAGTATAGGTGTTTCTATTATGTTAATAATTGTGTTGAGAAACACGATGTATGTAACAGTGGCTTGATTTAAATATTGAGTGTACAAGCATTTTGACAAGGAAGTACAAATAAATAGATAAGACAAAAAATATTTTAATAAGCACTCGACTATCGCTCGACTAAAGTCCCCGGTTATTCGACTAGTCTACCCGAGTAAAATTGCCATCCCTAATATGTACATGTACATTTTTAAAGATACATTTATAATGTATGTATATACATGTAAAGGAAAAAATTATATTATCTATGCTAAAATGTTGAAAGTAAATTATGTTGAAATAGAAACGTTAATGACTTGAATGATTTTGCCGTCCATGAGATCTTACACGATGATCTGTATTTGGGCAGAAACTGCAAGTATCCGAAAAAGCATAAGGACTGAAAATCTTTAAGCAAAAAGTATTTGTCCCAACTGCATCCAACATTGTTCGAAATAATATCCTTACACATTACAAATATTTCATAAAAATTCACTGCTTTGTAAATTTTCAAGAAATGTTTTTATTCCTATGTAGTGTTGTACATGTAATGATATACTGATATATCCTGAAACAACGTACGTTTGGACCGAAGTTGGTACATGTAACCGGCCAGTGCGGCAATCCAGATTTTTTTTTTTTTTTGATACGGTTTATAAGTTAAAGCTGAACACGATTCGTAAATGGCAGAGATCTATGTTTGTCCGCCATATTACTTTGCATTTTCCGTTACCTGTACGGACCCAAAATAAGCCGTTAACTTGGTCACAGTTCAGTATAATCAGTTTTCATCGGTGACGGACGTATTGTATTCTACATAGCTAAGTAACGGTGCTTCTTCCACGGCAGAATACAAAGTTACCAAAGAAACTTACATCAGTTGCACAGGTCAGTGTAAATCAAACACAAATACACGTAACTGCAATAAAATGTAAACAAAGGTAATGTAAGATAACCAACAGGAACACTTGTCGTACATTCCACGCAGGTACTCCTGACAAGAAAGCAGTCAGGTGTAACAAGTGCGAAAAGTATACCCCATTGTTTATATCGGAGATAGGAAAACTAATATGGCGTATGCATTTTTACGAGTTGTGCTTTGCATTTAAAAGCAATAAACATTGCCATTAAACACATTTTTTTGTTTCAACGCAATAAATATTGCGATTTGGGAGATTGAATCATGTTGCAAAAAGCATCAAGCGTAGTAAATTTTTTTCTACACATAGATCTTGATTAAAAATAAAAACAAAAAATGAGTGTTAGCGCTCTTTTTTGGCACTACGGATAATTTTATATGACCTTTCTGCACTGTTATTATGTTTAACAAGTATATCATTTTTTTTGAAGTTTTTCCCTCAACATTTCTTATCCAAACAAATCATACAGTCTTATTTTATCCAGAATAAACACATTAAAATTTATGACAATGAAAAAGTTTCAAATTACTTTGCATAGTCAACTATTTGACCTTTCTGCATTCAGAAAATGTCACTTTTTCTGGCATTAAAAAAATAACAAGCGATAAAATCATTTCAGAATATCCTATAGAAAACAAAGTTAATAGATCATTTGACCTTTTTCAACCTTAAACGTGAAGACGAAGTGATCATTTCAAGAATACGTATTGGTCATTCAAAAAATTCCTCTCTCAAGATCAAATTTCATAATCCCCTAAATAATGACCATGAGGACCAGTTATCAAAATTAAGATATCACGCCGTTTGCATTGTCGGTTTATGATACAGAATACGTTTGGTATAAAATTTATCATTTCTTGATTGAAAATTTCCTTCCATTGTCAAATTTCGAGTGTTGGAAATTAAAAATGGGTTGGTGCTGTCGGACCTGTTCGGGCAAATTAAAAACCTGGTCTTTTAAATATTCTTCGTTAATACTCAGTTAATACGTTCTATTCCCACTCTTCTAAGTGCGCTCTTTTGTGAAAAAGTCGGAAAATGCACAAATCTCGCGGGATTTTTGGGACAAACGTAACATAAACATGTAAACAAATGTTGAATGTCGATGAACAAATCCTAATAAAACGCAGATGAAATATTTTATTGTTGTGGACTTTATATACATTAAGAGTAGAAATGACAACGATATGAATTTATATCTATTGTTGATCGTATGTATTTATTTATCGCATGGTACATCTAAATACAATACACATGCCTCGAAAATGTCGTATTTTTTTTATTAATGGATGATAAATTTAGGGGTCTTGCTCTCATACATATGTCTTTTAGTTCGTATATTCTTTAATTGGAATGACAAATACATTTAACATTTAAAATTGGGTTGAGGTTGGCATGTTTTGTATTATCCGCAACGCCATGCTGTCCCAGTCAGACGACCAAACGCGCCTCTAATTTTGAAGAGTTCACCAATGGAAATCAAACGTATTGAATTGAAATGGGTGGATTATGAAGGTCGATTATAATAAGAATATTTATTAAGTGAGGTGCTTAACTAGTAGTAATTCTATTTGAAAAATATTCAAGTTGTGTAAAATGGGAGTAAAATTTCTTGTCAAATTAGACACATATTTGCTTTCAATTACATTTTGTTGAGTGTGTTCTGCAGATAATATTAGTCGGAATATTGCACTTTTAAAGTTTGTTGTGTCGACATATATCCCTTAAAATTCATACAATCTTTAAAATCTTCTTGACTACTGTACATTATGTAAGAATTTTCACAGGGTGCACCCGCTTCCTGAAAATAGTTAGATCAATGCACAGGCACTTGACGTTTTAAACCTTTCTCTTCATTGATAAAAATACCATATTTTATAATTGTATTATGGTATGGGATGGACGTATGGGATGAATGAAGTGATTATACTGGTTTCTGGGTCACTGTATCAATGTATGTATTGAATTGTGGGATAACTATGGTCACTTTACCTGTTTGTGGTTCACTGTATATATGTATATAATATATTGTGGGATAAATAAAAGTGATTATATGCCACATTTTTGTTCACTATATTTAAATATGCATAAAAACCTATTTGAAAAGTAAGCATATAGATTAGATATTTTGTTAAAATCTCATAATATAAGGTTGATAAGCTGTGTGTTGAATAAAAAACAATACATTTTGGGATGATAAATGTAGTGATTGTACCAGTTTGTGGTTCACTGTATATATGTGTATGATGAATTGTGGGATAAATATATTGCACGTGATTATACCTGATTGTGGGTCACTGTATATATGTATATAATGAATTGTGGGATAAATATATTGTACGAGATTATGCCAGTTTGTGGGTCACTGTATATATGTATATAATGAATGAATTGTGGGATAAATATATTGCACGTGATTATACCTGATTGTGGGTCACTGTATATATGTATATAATGAATTGTGGGATAAATATATTGTACGTGATTGTACCTGATTGTGGGTCACTGTATATATGTATATAAAGAATTTGGGGATTGTACCAGTTTGTGGGTCACTGTATATATGTATATAATGAATTGTGGGATAAATATATTGCACGTGACTATACCAGTTTGTGGGTCACTGTATATATATATATATATATAATGAATTGTGGGATAAATATATTGCACGTGATTATACCTGATTGTGGGTCACTGTATATATGTATATAAAGAATTGTGGGATAAATATATTGTACGTGATTATACCTGATTGTGGGTCACTGTATATATGTATAGAAAGAATTTGGGGATTGTACCAGTTTGTGGGTCACTGTATATATGTATATAATTTGGGGATTGTACCAGTTTGTGGGTCACAGTATATATGTATATAATGAATTGTGGGATAAATATATTTTACGTGATTATACCTGAATGTGGGTCACTGTATATATGTATATATTATACTTTCATGTAAATTAGTTGAATCTGATTCGTCGAGAAACATTTGTTAAAAAACACTATTACCCGCTGAATGATGAAGCCACGCGCTCCAGCGTAGCAACAGTTAACATTGCTTGACGACGGGTGATATTCGAAAAAATATAGTGACTGCGCAGAATTTATGGGTGCACGGTTCACTCTTATATGTATTTATATAAACATTCAGTATAATTTAATAAATATTGCATGTAGTTGAGTGTAACATTGAAAATGTTACACTCAACTACATGCAATATTTATATAATAAAGAATTTGGGGATTGTACCATTTTGTGGGTCACTGTATATATGTATATAATGAATTGTGGGATAAATATATTGTAAGTGATTATACCAGTTTGTGGGTCACTGTATATATGTACATAATGAATTGGGGGATAAATACAGTGATTGTACCAGTTTATGTGTCGCGATAGAGATATGTCTATAACAAACTTTTGGACATGTAAGCATATACTTAAGATATTGTCTTTAAAATCTCATAATATAAGGTTGATAATCTCTTTTTCTTTAAATAAATAATTCACAAATTGAAGGTCATTATGTTATTAATGTAGTGATCATAGCTGTTTGTGGGTCACTATATATATATATGTGTGTGTGTGTGTGTATAACGAATTGTGGGACAGGCGATTGCATAAAATATATAGTGTAGAATCTCATAATATTAGTCTGCTATCCTATATGTTGAATCAATAAAAATACGCTACGGATTGGACATTACGGATTCAATGCAGTGATTATACCTGTAAATTTACTTTAAAAAATAAGAATTCAATGCTTAAACATGTATGTGGTTCACTATATATATGTATATAAGAAAATCTAGGATAAGTAGGCGTATAGATAAAATATGTCGTTCAATATCTAACAATGCTTAATGAATAAATAAATTACAAATACATTGTGGGGTGGACATTATTTGATAAATCATCTTTGTCACTATATATAGTTGTATGTAAGAAATTTTGGGATATATATATAAGGAGCGAAAGAGGATATCCCTAGAATATCTTGTTAAGAATCTCATAAATCATGTATCGCAGTGAGTCATTATGCAATTTGACCCCAAAATACTCGAAAAATAATAGTTAAAATCTTATGCATATTGAAACCAGCAAAACTGTTCTTAATGATTCATTCTATTTTGTACATATGTAAATATACATATATATCTATATATTTTATCAAACATTAATTCTTATGTCTTACATTATAAAATGCAGCACAGAATACATATTGCATATGATAACATTGTGGGTCATAATATTCATATATATAGAGCATTGTACGATGTATATACTTTATCCCACAATGCTTTATATATATAAATATAATGACCCACAATGATATACAACATTTTTAATCTTATCTCAAAAATTATATTATATATTATATAAGGACCGTATATAACGCCTAAATCATGAATATGACATAGCTATGCAATGTAGAAATGCGAGATCCCACAAACCTGTTTAGAAGGTCGGTGCCCACAAACAACCTCATATATATATATATATATATATATATATATATATATATATATATATATATATATATATATATATATATATATATATATATATATATATATATATATATATATATATATATATATATATGTATATATATAACCTATAAACTAAAAATAATTAACTATTTATTCATCTTAAGAAATAACAATTTGCATAAATAAGCTGCAAATGTTCACCATACCTGTCTGATTCGGACAGTTTTAATGTTTGTTTTTCCTAATAATTCTCATAATAATTAAGATGCTACGGTTAATATTCCACAGTTCTCCGATTCTAAATGATATATTGATATTGTGCAATAATTTCCGGGAGTGATAAAGGCACATCTGAGTTATCATGACATATATTATAAATCTTTCTTTTAGGACGAAAAAATGGACATCCACCAAACCATTTTTATTCAGGAATTTATAGAGAATTTTCCTTTTTTGGTATATATATCTAATTTTAAATAAATTAAAATACCTGTTACTGATGCTATTCATTACACCAATATCATATTTGTAAGGTATTTATAATATGGTAATATTGAATGATCCATGCAAATTTGCAGTTTCACATAGATGTAAAGCCATATAAATATTTGTATTTTTATCGTAATTACAAAGATAACTTCCTTGATGTTTGTTTATTTCTGTTTTGCTTAACTGAATTCTTCACTAGTGTATTCTTCTTAAAAGTACAATTGAAATCCTAGTTGCTGATTTTTAAGTTGTCGCTCTAAAATTTACATGAAGCGCTTATTTTTTTAACAGTGGACAGTAAATCTGGCTGTTATTATGACGGCAACTATCATCCTTTATTTAAAAGTGTGTTTTAATGCTTCTGTGCATTTGAAATGCTTATTTAAAATCCATTTACACAGAGATTACGCAAATTCCCCAAAGAGTTCTGCTTATTTTGCATAAACATATTGTTAAAAATCGGTAAGCCGTCGCTCTAAAAAGACTGCATGACACGTGTATTTCTTTTCAATGGACAGTAAACCGGGCTGTTATTGTGACGGCAACTATCATCCTTTTTCCAAGTGTCTGTTTATGTTTCTGTGTATTTGAAATACTTATTTAAAATCCATTTAAATTTCCCAGGAGGATGATATGATTCAATTCCTTTCTCATACTATTTTTATTTTCATTTGTTTTGTTGTTTCCATTAGATGCTGCTCTGACCGAGTATATCCCTATGAATAATAAATGTTTTGTTTTATGAAAGATAATCTAGAAATTCAACGTTTCTTTATACGTATATGACAAATTGCTTCTGATGCAGAGATAGTATTGATTGATTGAATCACTACATAGAGTAAAACTGTCAACTTTGAAAAACACAAATTACAAAAAAAATCTTTTAAAAAGTAAGACATTTATAGTATATGTCTTAATCCAATTAACCATTCAGAAAACAGACCCGTGGTTTTATTACCCCAAAGTTTGTATCGCTACTAATCAAATAATTATGCAGGAAAAAAGAAAATATTTAACACCAAAAATAAAAATTAACTTACACTTATCTGCACATTTATTAAGGATCCTCCACACATCCTCAGCTTATGTTTTCATATTATTAAGCGGTCCTTTGAACAGGCATTTCAACCTTTAAAAGTTGTCCAGGAAATGAAATAAAATTCATACTGATTTTTTTTTATTTTTTTTTTTAAGTTTAAATTTCATATGTTTAAAGATTTTTTTTTCCAATCGAATTTTGCAATAGCTCAACACATTTTGTTTTTTTCCTTGCATGTAATATTAAGCTCACAAGACAACCACAAAAAATTATTTTTTTTTTCTGTCAACATATTTTAAAAAGAAATTAATAAAAGTTATAAAAAAAAAATCGTTTTCTCTATAACACATGGAGGAAAATAAGTTTACACTCCTGATAGTATAGAAGAAACATTTATGAATAAAATTTCAACAAGAAATTGAATTAAAATAAAATTTATTGATGTAGAAAAACAATTTAAAATCCTTGGTATAAAAGTAGAGTTATCTTTCTTGTTACCCAGTACTCAAAAACTTTGGCAAGGCTCCGCATACGTCATCGTACTCAAGTTACTCATTATTCGCAGCTAAACTGGAAGGATATAAATGAGCAAACCTAGAAATGCACACTTGATATCACTAATTATTAATACACAATGAGAGATGTTTGATTGAAACAGCCAAATCAGTGTGTTATCACAACAGACTTTGTTGACGATATCGCAATGGGTTGTTTAGCCTGAAAGTATGAATAAACTAGAACGTTCTCTCACAGATGCACTTCTTATTTTGGCCAACTTTCAAATAATGTTTGTTTGCCCTCACCCGACACAGAATGAAAAAAATGGGTCGGTAGGTAGTGGGATTTTTGTATTCAAAGAAAATTTCAACATCAATGCTGAATTTTCAAAATCTATTTTTCGGAATGCAAAAAAGTACTTTTTTTTCCTAAAGGTTAAAAATGTTTGACTTGGGCAATTTATAGCCAGTCGGTCGGGAGAGGGCAACCAAACCATTCTTTAAAGATGGCCTTATGATTTCTATGCTACAAAAATGCAAAGGTCTGTTGTCCTTTTTCTGAAAAAAAAAATCGACACCATTTTTCTTTCGTTCACACCATGCCCATACCATGTGTTCATTGTTAATGATTAATATATCCCTCTCAGTTTAATGCATGCAAAAGGGTCCAGTCTTGTATTCCACCATATTTCAAGTTAAAGACTACACCTTGTATTTCCTACAAATATACATCGACTAATGCTTTCAAACTTTTTAATTACAAGGAAACTTTACAGGGCCTAGATATCGAATATCTGAAACATAATCCTCCATCGTGTTCATGTTCTTCTTCGCCCTATAACTATAGTCCTGCTGGACACATTATTACTGGTGACGTAAATATAGTTAATAATGAGGATCTTAGATCATTAATTTTAAAAAGTCATAAATTTAGGGAACCCAGATCCTTCAACTGGCGTAAGAATTTCATAAATATTATGGATTCTGTAGAGGACTACGCCAGGCGATGGGCCAGACATGAAAAAGAAGACCTTGACACTTTGTCAGAATGGATTAAATGTATCAGATGTATGTTAAAATCGCGCATTAAAAGATTGAGAGGCAATATGAAAACCATCTATCCTTCTGTATTCAATAATCCAGAAGTGAAAAAAGAATTAGATAGATTACATGATCAGTACGTACTCTCCCTGCTGACAAAGCAGGTAACAACATTGTCTTTGTTTGTAAGGCTCATTATATTAAATGTATTTTAGAGGAACTTGGATTTAATTCTACAAGTGGTAATCCAACTTATACTCATAGTTCCCTTTCTAATGAAGAAATTCTTCAAAATCATATGTCAGTTTTGAATATTTTTAACATTCAAAACAACCAAAATGAATTCGAATTACCATATTTATATTGGATTCCGAAACTTCATAAAAATCCTTACAAACAAAGATACATAGCGGGTTCCAGTAAATGTTCAACCAAGCCTCTATCTTTACTCCTGACTAAGATATTAACAGTGGTGAAGGAGAAACTTCAAGAGTACTGTGCAACAATATATTCGAGAAGTGGTGTAAATCAGATGTGGATACTTGAAAATTCCAAGGAACTTTCGGAAAATTTGAAATCACAAGATTTTACCAAAATCAACACATTAAAAACCTACGACATTTCAACATTATACACAACCATTCCCCACGATAAATTAAAGTCCAGGCTTTTTGATATCATTGACAGCTGCGTTTTCAATAAAAATGAAACTCATCAATTTACTCACCTTGTCATTGGTCATTTGCAAAATTATTTTGTTAAAAAACATTCTGATTGTACACACAAGTACTCTGAAGTTGAGCTTCTGATTGACAATATATATGTGGTTTTTGGAGACCAGGTCATCCAACAATCTATTGGAATTCCAAAGGGTACCAATTGCGCCCCGTTATTATTAGTAGACCTTTTTTGTATTCATATGAAGCAGAATTTCTCATACATTTTGTACGTGAAAAGAAGAAAGCACTTGCTATGGCCTTCCAATCGACATTTAGATATTTAGATATATCGACGACGTATTGTCATTAACAATGGCTATTTCCATTCTTATGTCGATACGATATATCCTTGTGAGCTTGAGATAAAAGATACCACAGAGTCTAACACATCTGTTTCATATTTGGATATTTTACTTGAAAAGACGTTAATGGTAATCTAACAACCAAGCTTTAATATAAACGTGTTGACTTTAACTTTTCAATCGTCAACTTTCCTTACTTATGCAGCAATATACCTTCATCACCTGCATACGGGGTATGTATTTCTCAGTTGATTCGATACACAAGAGCATGCTCTACGTATGTACAATTAGGTAAATTATTGACAAACAAGTTGATGAGACAAGAATATCAGCTGTCTCGTTTAAAGTCATCATTTCGTAAGTTCTATGGTCGATACAATGACTTTGTCAGCAAATACAATTTATCATTGAGTCAAATGCTGACTGACGTTTTTCATACAAGTTGTTAGGCCATTATTTACACACTGAATTGTCGACGGATTTTTCCGTTATTTCCCGATCATGACAAGGAGCACATGGCGGGTGTGACCAGTCAGCAGGGGATGCTCACTCCTCCAGGGCACCTGATCCCACCTTTGGAGGTCCGTGTTTGCTCTGCTCTGACTTTTGAGCCTGGATACTGTTCGTTATCTTCATATATTTCATTAGTATAATTTCACGTTATATTTTACAACCGCCAAAAAAAAATCATTTTCTAAAGATAACACAGAAAGAAACTACGCCACTCAGAAAATTAGAATAATAAGAAATTTAAATGACAAGGAACACACGCCGGGTGTGACCGGTCGGCAGGGTATGTCACTCCTCCATGGCACTTGATCCCACTTCTGATTTCTTAGAGGTCCGTGTTTGCTCTTCTCTTATTTTGTGATGTTTAGTGGACCTTTGAGCTCGAATATTATTGTTATATCCACATATTTCATCATACAAGTACTTAGTTATCTGTCCTTGACCTCTGTTTTATGTCCTTGGCATACATGTGAGATTCATCTAGGTTCCCTTCCCTATCAGCGAGCTAACCTTACTACGCCACCTGGATTCTTCATAAAACTTTCGTCACTCCCGTGGTTGGGAATGAGGGCGTGGGCAGAGACCTTCGTACCGAAGTTCAAGATCCTCGGGGTTTATGAAGGACTTATTCACACTGTAGACCGGGATGATGATTCTATATATTCCCGATATACAATGTTTGAAAAAGAATGTGTTTAAATAGAACCTCTAAAAGGCTGACAACGAAAAGGCTGTTAAAATTACTACAATAGAAGAACAATTTAATCTATAATCAATCATTTGTATCGAAGTATCAAATGTTTTGATCCATATGATGATTTGTTAAAGAAAGATCGGTACAATATATTAATATTGATCTTATGTTAAAATTGTCAGTTAAAAAAAAGATATTAATTTTTGAGAATTCATCAGGACATGAACTAGGACGCGTCACACGGGCATATTTAGCGCTTCATGATAAATATGCAGGATTGAAGCGTGGTGTTTCATGAACCTCATGAATTCTCAAAAATTAACTTCACTTCTTATATTTACATTATTTTCTAATGACTTACCACATATTTTTGTCATTCAACGATCAATTCTGAAAAAAAAAAAATGCACTATATATTTTATTTCAATTACTTCACAATGGAAATATTCTGACTCATCTCACGGTTGTTCATGAGAACATGAACTTTTTCTAATTTGCAAAGTATCTTAATTAAAAATATTTGGAAATGAAAATAATTTAGATGTTAACGCTCTGAAACTTTAAATAGTGTTAAATATAGTCGCATCTTCTCGAGCCTTCCCTGCAAGTCCGGAAATACACCTTAAATGTTCATGTATTTCATCACCGTATGTAAATATTTTATACACAATGGAGTCCCTTCTAATTTAAGATTTTTTAAAAGGTAGAAAAACAGGGGACCGATGGTACCTATAACATAGATGCAGAAGACCCATCCTGTAGTAACTGGTTACGATTTGTGAACTCTCCCGCCAAATATCAGCAAGAAAATGTCATCCCTATAACGTGCGAGGGCATCATCTTCTATATGACATCACGTGTCGTAGAACCGAGTGAAGAGCTTCTGGTCTGGTATGGGGACGGATATGGGAGGTTTTTAGGGGTAAACCGTATACATCCGGGTAATTCTTCAATCTATCACTTCGCATACCTTCATTTCTCTAATTTGCAACTAGGTAGAAGTAAGAACTGCTTTTTATTTATATTAATGTATAAACTCCTTATATATATTTTTTTCTTTTTTTTTCCCCTTTTTTGCATTCCACAAATTTAAATTTTAGAACTTTTAGTTTACTAGCTTCATTGAAATCTTGAAACAAAGATTATTGCAGTGTATGAAATTTGTAATTTTTCAATTGTTTTTCCATTTAAAAGACCTTGGTTATGGTTTCAAACACCATCCAACGATACTTATTTTCCTTTGTTCTTCAAATTGAAATTTAGTTATGCCAAGACTGGCTTATGCTTACATGTATCAGAAAATTGTACTTTTTTACTTAGGTCGAAAATGGGATACTTTCTTTTTGAACATCTGTTGGTGTTCGATACATAAGTATAATTTTATCGATTTATAAGTTTTTAAAGGGTATGGGTGTAGAACAACAAACAAATTATATAAATGGAGTTTAGAACGTTTATATGTTATGACACAGGTATCGGTATTTCAATAATGATATTATTTTCTTTCCTTTTTCTGCAGAAGTTGATCTGAATGGGTCTTTTGCATTCCGTGCAAATGTTTTGACATTTGACAATGAAAGACTAATTTTTGATAATTGGACACCTGTGACGTATCAGAACTTGAATCCAAACGACGAGGGTGAGACGGCAGTTGATCCTATCTTTGGCCTCCTTTTGACTTATCATAACGACGGTAGGTGGCGCTGGGTTACTGAAAGGAATTACACGTACTATACAGGAGAAGACGGACTAAAACTTCCCTTTATTTGTGAGGATTCTCCGTTTTATTTGGAGCCGGAAGAGTGTTCTATTACGTAATGTTTCATTGTTTTAAAATGAAAATAAACTTTTGCCACCATTA